CAATTCCAATCTTATTGAATTTACTGAGGCTCTTTTTGTGGCCTAGTATGTGGTCTATTCTGGAAAATGCTCCATGTGCACTTGAGAAGAATGTGTATCCTGCTGCTTTTGGGTGTAGAGTTCTGTAGATGTCTATTAGGTCCATCTGTTGTAATGTGTTGTTCAGTGCCTCTGTGTCCTTACTTATTTTCTGTCTGGTTGATCTGTCCTTTGGAGTGAGTGGTGTGTTGAAGTCTCCTAAAATGAATGCATTGCATTCTCTTTCCTAAGAAATAGAATTAAAATTCTGTTAGTATTTGTTTCACATATGTAGGTATTTCTGTGTTGGGTGCATATATATATTTATAATGGTTATATCCTCTTGTTGGACTGCCCCCTTTATCATTATGTATGTCCTTCTTTATCTCTTGTGACTTTCTTTGTTTTGAAGTCTATTTTGCCTGATACAAGTACTGCAACACCTGCTTTTTTCTCCCTATTGTTTGCATGAAATTATCTTTTTCCATCCCTTCCCTTTTATTCTGTGTATGTCTTTGGGTTTGAGGTGAGTCTCTTGTAAGCAGCATATAGATGGATCTTGCTTTTTTATCCATTCTATTACTCAGTGTCTTTTGATTGGTACCTTCAGTCCATTTACAATTTAGATTGATTATCGATAGATATGTACTTATTGCCATTGCAGGCTTTGGATTCATGGTTACCAAAGGTTCAAGGGTAACTTCTTTACTATCTAACCGTCTAACTTTAACTCACTCATTATGTTATTATAAACACAGTCTGATGATTCTTTATTTCTCTCCCTTCTTTTTCTTCTTCCTCCACTCTTTGTATGTTAGGTATTTTATTCTGTACTCTTTTTTGTTTCCCTTGATTGTTTTTGTGGGTAGCTGATTTTAATTTTTGACTTTAGTTAGTATTTGGTTGGTCTGCTTTCTTTGCTGTGATTTTATTTTCTCTGGTGACATCTATTTATACTTAGGAGTACTTCCATCCAGTGCAGTCCCTTTAACATACCCTATAGAGGGGGTTCATGGGAGGCAAATTCTCTCAACTTTTGCCTATATGGAAATTGTTTAATCCCTCCTTCAAAGTTAAATGATAGTCTTGCTTGATACAGTATTCTTTTTTTGAGGCCCTTTTGTGTCATTACATTACATATATCATGCCATTCTCTTCTGGTCTGTAAGGTTTCTGTTGAGAAGTCTGATGATAGCCTGATGGGTTTTCCTTTGTAAGTGATCTTTTTTTCTCTCTCTGGCTGCCTTTAATACCCTGTCCTTGTCTTTGATCTTTGCCATTTTAATTATTATATGTCTTGGGGTTGTCCTCCTTGGGTCTCTTGTGTTAGGAGATCTGTCGGCTTCCATGGTCTGAGAGACTATTTCCTACCTCAGTTTGGGGAAGTTTTCAGGAATTATTTCTTCAGAGACACTTTCTGTCCCTTTTTCTCTCTTCTTCTTCTTCTGGTACCCTATGGTGTGAAAATTGTTCCATTTGTGTTGGTCACACAGTTAGTTCTCTTAATATTCTTTCATTCCTAAAGATCCTTTTTTCTCTCTCTGCCTCAGCTTCTCTGTATTCCTGTTCTCTGATTTCTATTCCATTAACAGTATCTTGCACCTCATCCAGTCTGCTCTTAAGTCCTTCTATGGATTGTTCATTTCTGGTATCTTCCTCTGGCCTTCATCCCTTAGCTCTTGCATATTTCTCTGCAGGTCCATCAGAGTGGTTATGACTTTCGTTTTGAATTCTTTCTCAGGAAGATTGGTTATATCTATCTCTCCAGGCCCTCTCTCTGGTGTTGTTTGAGTGATTTTGTACTGGATCAGGTTCTTTTGCCTTTTCATGGCAATAGAAGTTATCACCGGCAAGTGGCACATGTGTCAACTGGGAGAACAAAGTCCCTTCCTGCTTGCTGGTTGTCTTGCTCTTCTCCGCTGCCTGTGCTGGTTACCTGCACACCCAGAGCAGTCTTTGGATTAATATTCTGTGCTGCAATGGGTGGGGCGGTCCTTGGGATGGCCTTAGGGCACTGCAGGAGGTCACAGGTACACAGCATGTGTTCTCCTGTGAGAACGGCGCCCTTTGTGTCTTCCAGACTTTGCACCAACTTCCTCTGTCTGTAATGGGCAGCTGCGTGCTGGCAGCAGCCTCTGGGACTGGCCCAGTTAGGTGCATGCTGGGAGAAGACTCTGTATGATTGCTGTGAGTGGGACTACTCCGCAGCTGCTCTACAGCAATGGTGGGTCAGCTGGTTTACTTGCAGTGCTGGTGGGGAAGAGTGAACAGCAGGCTGCATATCGCTGTGAGGGGCTTCAGAACTGCGTTGTTACCCAGGGGGTGAGGGTGTCTGAAGTTCCTTAAGATTCCCAGCCTGCTGGGCTGAGTGTGCCAGGACGGTTTTGTCCACCTGTTAAGTCCTTGTCCCTTTAAGACTTTTAAACTGCCCACTTTTCTTTTGTGTCAGGGAAGCCGGCTGTGGGGACCTGCTCACAGTCTCCATCTTTGATTTTTCTTTTCCGTTTCTCTAATATCTGGTACACCATACAATGTGTGTCTGTGCTCCCAGTGCAGATTACTAGGGCTTGTTATTTAGCAGTCCTGTGCTTCCACTCCCTCCCCAGCCTGATTCTTTTGCTCCCGCCAGCAAGCTGGGGTGGAGGAAGTGCTCAGGTCCCACCAGGTCACAGCTTTGTATCTTACCCTTTTCATGAGATGCTGAGTTCTCGCAGATGTAGATATAGCCTGGCTGTTGTACTGTATCTTCTGGTCTCTCTTTTAGGAATAGTTGTCTTTGCTGCACTTTCAAAGTATATGTGGTTTTGGGAGGAGATTTCCACTGCCCTACTCATGCTGCCATCTTGAGTGCCTCCATGAGGAGAACCCTTAAATTTTTATAGTGACCCCCACCCTTTTAAAAAACAGAACTATTACAAACATTCTTTCATGTCAAAAAACAAATGACACCTTCCTAATTGAAAACAGAATCCAAGTCTACACTTACCTTAATTTCATGGTTGACTTGAATGCTGAGATAATTTGGATGTTGTCATCCAAAAAGTTGTTGCTAAGGCCAGTGTCAAGGAGCTTCCCCCTTTGTTTTCTTCTATGAGTTTTATGATTCCAGGTCTTACATTTAACTTATTAATCCATTGCAAGTTAATTTTTGTGAGTGATGTGAAATATGGGTCCAGTTTCATTCTTCTGTAGGTGGTTATCCAGTTTTCCAAACATCATTTATTGAAGAGACTGTTGTTGCTCCACTGAGTATTCTTGGCTTCTTTGTCACATACTACTTGACTGTATCTGCTAGCATTTATTTTTGGGCTCTTGATTCTGTTCCATTGGTCTATGTGCCAGTACTACACTGTTTTGGTTACTATAGCTTTGTAGTGTAGTTTGAAACAAGGAAGTGTGATGCCTTCAGCTTTTCTGTTCTTGTTCAAAATTTTTTTTGGCTATCCAGGGTCTTTTGTGGCATCATACAAATTAGGATTGTTTTTCTATTTTTGTGAAACATGCAATTGGAATTTTGATAGGTATTACACTGAATCTGTAGATGGCTTTGGATGGTATGAACATTTTAGCAACATTAATTCTTTTGATTTATGAGCATGGAATATCTTTTCATTTGTGTCTTCTTCAATTTCTTTCAACAGAGTCTTACAGTTTCAGTGTGCATATCCTTCTCCTTCTTGGTTAAATTTTTCCTAAGTAAAAAACCCAACTTTCAAATATGAGTTCACTTATGAAAAATTTTGATAAATCATTTGACAACTATGTTAGATTGTTAAAAGGTTTTTTAAGGGTTTTTTTCTGTTATGCAGGGGGGAAAGGAAAGGATTCTTTAAAAGAAATCAAGCTGAAAAAGTTCTGGGCTGCTACTAACCATTTAAGTAAGCTTAAATGTTGTACCCATGTTCTAGTACACTCCTGGTCATGGGGGAGGGAGAAGGAGATTTACCTTTGAAAGAGAAAATTTGCCTTTTTCTCATAGGGAAATTGTAATCATAGTTACGTTGTAGGTAATCTTTGTTTTTCTTCTTCTATCTTTGGGCTTGGCAATGGAGGAGTAGCTGAGTTCTTGCACTCTGCAGATAATCTGTAAGTAGGGAAAGTGTAGTCTTCCTAAAGGGATTTGGTGATGGTGACAAGTATTACTGGCAAGAATGTTAGGAACCAGATTGGCTGACACCAAAGCACTAGCATTATAGAAGTGGGCAAACCCCAAAGGACTGTAAATGAATGCTGAGGTAATTTAGTAAACCCCGTAGGGGTGAGGGGATCATGTGAGTTTAAGCAGAGATTCAAGACAATTAAGGATCCATGAGAATGCTAATTTTATTTATGTGTTTCTGTTTCTTTAATTTGTATTTAAAAACTCAATAGTACTTTGTAATAGGTATGCACATCTGTTTTACTGCAGACATATCTTTGTATACCAAATCAAACATACCTTTCAAGTTCATTACAATCTATGGTTTTCAGTTGGCCACACACAAGGCTATCCCAAGCCATTGTCTTTTTTTTTTTTTGGTATCATTAATCTACAATTACACAAGGAACATTAAATTTACTAGACTCCCCCCTTCACCAAGTCCCCCCCCCAACAAACCCCATTACAGTCACTGTCCATCAGCTTATCGTCTTTTATTGATCATTATCTTTTACCTTAGAAGTTGCAACTACGATGTGGTGCAGTTTTAGTAACGATGATGCTCAAAAACTATGGAGTGGTGGCAAATACTACAAAGCTACACAGCTCCTGTTTTGAAGCAGTTCCATAGAAAGAAAGTCAGATAAAACACAAATTACCCCAGTGGCTTTGCATATAAGACCTTTTCTTTAGATCTATCTTGATTTCCGTAGAAATTGGAACTGTTCTCCACTTTGGATCATAGGGTAGTCGGCAACAAGATAAATAACACCATTTGCCTTTCTAAGTGTTTCATAGTTGTTTTTGCTTTTTAAAAATTGTGCTTTTCCTTCTTGCCATTTAGAAAAGAAACTGGACTTGAAATTATTGGACCTGTTGAAGATGAGGGTGGCTGAGCTGAAACAGATACGTACAGCTGGGAAGAGGAGTGCAGGGCCTGTCTGGAGAAAACTGACTATGTGAATCTGACCAAAGAACTGGCACCCAAGTATGCAGTGACACACTCCACGACAGAACTCTGACCCCCGGAGGCCAGTGCCTGGTTCCTTGTAATTAGAGACGAGATGCTTCTAGGGTATGGACGTGTTGGTTAAGCATGACAGGGAGTTACACTGTGCATGGTCTCATACTTTTTGCTTTGATATTATACCTCAGAATTGGTTACTTGGGTTTGTAAGTAAAACTGCTAATATTAATGGTGTCTTAACATTTGCAGTGTACCAAAACCTGACAGTGCCTTTCTCATAATTTTCTTGTAAGGCTATATAGATCATCATTGCCTACCTCCTAAAATTGGGAAAAGTGAACTACTGAAAAATTGATGTAGTAAATTGATTTTAAGAAGGGAAGAGAATACTTAGAGGCCCCTCTATGTGCATTTAATTTTTAATTAAATAGATTGGTTTAGGGCAAAAGAAACAATGCTTAGCTTATCTAAATCCCAACTTCAAGCTGAAATAACCTGGTATAATCAAAAGTTCTTTAAAAAGTAAACTTTGTATTTTCACTGCAAATCCCTCGGCATTCTAGCTTTCTTTGGTATCAGAAATGGAGGGCAAGAGGCACTACTTAAATGAGTGTTTCCCATGTGAAGAAAACCTATTTAAAACTTATTTAAATTGACTTAAAGAAAATAGATCAAGAATCCACACAAGTATAGCCAACATTAGCAAACTGTGTCAACATTCACACTATTACTGAGCCAAGCTCAAGGTTTTGTGTGTGCCTTCCTGCCACACATTAGACAAGTTTTTGACAGAATACAGTATATTAAGAGCATCTACAGTCAACATGAAGCTTTATGTTCTTAATGCTATTTTATCAACTTTAAATTGTAAAATCATTTTTGGCCATATAAGAATAAGAAACCCACTGTAGAAGTGGCTGCCTCTGTGTTGCAGACAGAAGTGGGGAACGCCTACAGAGCAGCTCAAGGGAGCTTTTTGGGGTGGCAGGAATGTCCTTTATCTTGATTGGGGTGGTGGTTACATGGTGAATAGGACTGTCAAACTCATCCAGTAGTAGTATAGTTATGATCTGGGCATTTTTTTTGTATGCAAATTATATCAATAGTACTGCTATATATTATTTTAAAACTAAGATGCATTGATTCAAAATATCTTGTTCATAGGCAGAGAAAAACAAACACCATATGATTTCACTTATTTGTGGAATATAAAAACAAATCAACACAGAAGGAACAAAGCAACATTAAACTCATAGACACGGAGAAACAACTAGTGGTTACCCAAGGGGAGGGGAGCGGGCTGGGGCAAGGGAGGGGGAAGATGAGGGGGACTGTTGAGCCACCGTGATGTACATTTGATTATAATAAAAAAGATTCTTGTTCATTTAAGGAATTGCATATACTGGCTGGAACCTCTTTTGGGTAGTGGAGGACAAATTTCCCACACTGAAAGTATACATTGAAAGCATAATTTTCATTTTTAAGTGCTGTACTAGTAAACAAATTTTCACTTGGGCAGTTGGGATAACTGAACTTGTCAGGGAATTACTAGTTAGTACTTTAAAGGTGAGAATAAAGACATTTTGGTGTAATACATGCCCAAAAGGGTTCCTGTTACTGGATTTTGGCAGCTTGATCGTCATGTGTAAACACCCCACCTTATTATTAATTATGTATTTTAAAAGTCCAAATTTAGGCATTTTTACTTTTTGTATCATTTACTTATTTAGGTGCATTTTGAACCTATTGAGAAACTTGTCATTGAAAATAGTATGTTTGATGGCTGATCTCAAAATCAGGTCATATTTCTGTGTCACTTTTTTCAGATATAAATCTAATAGCACAGCACAATGGGTGATTTAAACCTATGATGTTTAGTCTGGATTTCAAAGGGCATTTACTCTAAATCAGTGCTACTCAAACTTTTCAAACTGTGCATACATATCCCTCAGGGATCTCATTAAAATGTGGATTCTGATCCAGTACGTCTGGGAGGGGCGGGAGCCTGCATTCTACCAAGCCCCAGAGTGATGTCCATTCTGTTCTGCTAGGGACCATACACTAAGTAGTAAGGGCCTGAGTCATCCTCAGGTTGCTCAAGGATCCTGTGGTTGGTTTATTTTTTCTTTCTGCCAGTCTCAATCGATTAGGTTTTTGATAGAGTGGAATATAATACTAATATCCAAACATAAAAAAGCAAACATACAAGAGCTGACTCTCTCATGTAGAAGAAGTCTAGAGGTAGCCAGTCCAGAGTAAATATGGCAGTTCCACCAAGTCCTTAGGGACTCAGCTCTTTTTGCTTCAGATACAATTGATGGGTTCTATTCTTAACCCACAGTGCAAGCTGGCTGCTGGAATTCCTTGTTCCAGAAGGGAGAAGTCATGAAAAGACCTGCCAACAAGCTGAGCCAGACTCTTTAAGCCTTTCCCTTCCCCTCCCCTCAACCTCCAACCCAACCCCTGCTCCCAAGTTCCATGTCCCACTCCATGAGGCTTTTATGTCATGGCAGTTCCACCAAGTCCTTAGGGACTCAGCTCTTTTTGCTTCAGATACAATTGATGGGTTCTATTCTTAACCCACAGTGCAAGCTGGCTGCTGGAATTCCTTGTTCCAGAAGGGAGAAGTCATGAAAAGACCTGCCAACAAGCTGAGCCAGACTCTTTAAGCCTTTCCCTTCCCCTCCCCTCAACCTCCAACCCAACCCCTGCTCCCAAGTTCCATGTCCCACTCCATGAGGCTTTTATGTCATTGACTAAGTTTAATCACATGCCAAACCTTTGCTGCAGGGAAGACTAGGAAATAACATCTTTTGATTGACCTCACTGCTGCCCAAATAAAATCAGAATTTTTTTAATGAGGAAGAAGGGAGAAACAATCTGTGGTGACAAGCCATCTCTGCCACACAGCATACATTTTTCCTTCCCATGAAACTTAGTTGTAATTCCTGGCTATTATACCCTAAATAACTCATCTCCCCCCTTGCTAAATGTAGGTCCTGTCTTTCCTTTCCTTCTTTTTTGGTTTGACAAGAAGTGGCTACTGTTTTCCTATTTTCTCTTTTTTTTAAATGGCTTCCTCTCTCACTTTGTGCATGTGTTTGCATTTTTTAAAATATGTTTTTACCCCAAATCCATAATAAACACACAAGGTTTAGAAGTCATTCTGTCAAGTGACAGAAGTCGGGCTCAAAGTTTTCATTTAAACGGTGGTGGTCTGGGGCCAACACTATTCCTGATCTACTCTTGATTTAAAAAATTCCAAGCATGAGAGTTCTTAACATACATGGGAGACTAGATACAATGTTTAAATCGCAATCTAAAAGTTGTAGTTATGTATTTGACTATAGATATCTGTAATCCACATTTTACCAAAGAGTGTTAAATTTAGAACAAATTAGCTTGGCATATAGGACAGGAAAATATTTGATGATTAGATCACTAAAAGCCAGGAGAGCATTTTGTGATCTAGTGGGTTTGAGCAGCTCTGGGTGAGAATCTTTTTGAAGTCAGTGGCTGAATTTTGATCTTCAAAATCTCATCTAGAACAAATGATTATCAGATGCCCATTCTTTTACAGTGTGTTTGAGATAAAACAATTCCACCAAAACAAATAGAAAAAGGGGTAGTATGTATTCTTAAGTTTTTTGTTTGTTTTTGTTCACTGACAAAAATGTTGAGAATTTGGGATTGTGCAAGCACACCTAGTGCTGAATTTCTAAAGCTCATCAGGATTTAAGTTAAAATTTTAATGTGTAAGACTGATAAATTAAAGATTTAAATATGATGGTTGTCAAAGGTTGGGTTGTTAGTTATCAGCCAAGTGGATCTGTTTTTAAGGCAGTATTTAAAGCTTCTCAGGTGATGTCCCCAGGAAGCTGTCTTAGGTACTCTGCATGCAATTCTGACCACTCCCGCCAAGCTGTGCTAATTTCTCAGTGTGGGAAGCTTAGCCTGTGCAACTGGGCTCTTCCTAAATTTGGTGGTTGACCTTGCAAGTTGACGTACGTGGTCTGGCAAGTGGTGCATTTTCTGTGAATGTGTACCTGCTTATTAAGATCCTGTGGGTTAGCTTATACTATGTAAGAGAATGGATTAACCCACATTTTGAACAAGAAAAAGGCATACATAAAGATATACAGCACAGGTCCACATCCATTATAAAATAGTTGGAGCTAGGTATTCTTGGAAATCACAATTTTTCAGATATGGTGTACATAAGAAATATTTCAAAACCCCCTAGGAGCTTGGGGCAGCATCCTGTAATGCCCTCCTATAAATCCAGAACAGGTTTTGTTTGTCAAATGAGTTACAAAAAAGAACTTTTGTGTTCATAACTTTTTGGATTTCTGAATCTTGGATAAGAGATAGTGGCACTGTAATTCTGTGGTGACTCCAGTCTAGGTGTTATCAATCATTAATTAAGACTTTGGGCCTTGTTTGATAAAACTTTACCTCCCGTAGACTAGTCTCACTTAGATATTCTCTGTCCTACAAAGGAATTGAAAAGCACCTGGGGTCCTCAGAAAATTAAGACTCCAAGTGCCTTTCTACTTTCTTTTGGCCACATGCCTTTCTCAGGGGAGCATGGTGCAGGGTCAGCATTAAATACCCATCAAGGAAACGTGCTCACTGTATTGTCTTCCTTCCAAACAGATGGGGCAGCTGTGGTTTCTCATCTTCAGGTCACCACTCCAAGAAGCTGAAAGGAGTAATTACTTCTCGTTCTGCAGCCCCTACCCTCAAGACGACTCTCTCTTCAGACTGAAAATCTGTTCAGACTTTGAAACATACTGTCTCTATGGTGGCCATGTTTACAATCAGCTGCAGAAGACATTGTTTACATGGGATTTGCCTTTTTTCCTTTCGAATTTGTTAAAACCTATCTTGGAAACAACAGATCAAATGTTGGGGCCCTAGTGACAGAGCAGCTGTACATACATTCTGAGGGGTCTTGGGCTCTGCAATTTCTAGCTGGCAGTGAACTTGCTCACCTGCTAGATATCATCTAGGAATGCATGTGTTTATTCCATGAATTCAGGTGTTCCCCTCATTTCTGAGTCTTCCACAGTCAGCCAAATACTTACTTCCCATGGAGCTCTATTCTTCCTCAATCCTAAATTATTAGGCATCCTTGTTTCTTTCAGAAAGGAGTCTGGAGTTTTCCCCTTTCCAGATTATATTTATATGGATATGTTTTTGCCTCCCCAGTAAGTTCAGTGTCACAGCACCTTGACCTTGGGTTCAAAAGCCTGATTCAGACCCAGACTTTGCAAATGACCTTTGCAGTCCCCTTTGCTTTCTCTAATACAGCTTATTGATGGTTCCTGAGAGTTCCATTGTATTGGAAAATATTGTTACTGTAATAGCATCTTGAATATACAAAGACAGAAGCAGAAGGAGTAAGATGGAAAGAGCACTGAATTGGAATTTGAAGCCTAGGCTTACCTGTGGCTGGTTATGCTCAGAAGAGTAGTGTGACTTTTCTGGCCCTCAGTTCTTCATCTTAGAATGTAGCTAATAATGTCTACCCTAATTGGGTTGTTG